TAAATTCTCCCGAATTTTCCTTCAGTTTTTAAGCGAAAATGTACAATTTATGGACAGCTCATTTTTGTGTAATCGTTGGCAATCGGCAGCTGTAAAAATGAGAGGCTCGAATAATCGTATCGCCTCTTCCCAAATCGTCCATTTCTCTGCGCAATCTGAGCGCGAATTAGAGAGAAATTGCTGTACATCTATTCTATTATCCGCATATTTATGTCACAGCCCGGATAATCGAGGTCCTACCGCAAATCCGGAAACGTTCTCGGCGAAAAAGTGACCGATCCGCGACGGATCGTAAACGGAATGCTCTCTGATCGCGAACATGGAAGAATGATACAGAGGTTTCTCCCGTGTCCGGCGATAAATAGCGACAGCGTTTTTTAAGGCGCCAAAGTGGTAGATCATTTTGTGCGTCAGCTGCAGCTGGTTGCTCCGCGACGGAACAATGGCTTACGTAACCGCGGCGCACACCGGTGCACAAGACCGAATCTCTTATCGCACCTGGCTGATTAGCAGTCAAGGTTGCATCGGAAGCTATTTTCAACGTTCGGTCCTTGGCGCTCGTAAATTTCTTCGCCAGACCTTTGTAACGCACAGACAGACGAATTCGTTTGTATGCAGATCGTGCAATTGTTTGCGCGGAGCTACCGTCTAGTCTGCCGCGTCTCTTTCGCAATCGAAATCATTTGCACGTGATTCGAGGAGCTCTCTTCTGTGTCTCTACGCTTGCTTCGAAAAATATTCGCGTCGTTGACGTCGACAAATTGGTAATCGTTCGTCTCGGCCGATTACGAAGCGACGCGTTCGATGCCGCTTTCTTGGAAATGTGACGGTGCTTTATAAGTTATTGCTGTTTCAAGGCTCGACGATATATACAGGGTGTCCCAGAAATGTCTCGCAATCCGAAAGTAGGGGATTCCTGAGGTGATTCGAAGTAACTTTTCCCTTAGCGAAAATGCAATCCGCGGCTTCGTTTACGAGTTATTAACGAAAAACAGTGACCAATCGGAGGCGAGATCGTTTGGCGCGAGACGGCCGAGCCAATGAGCGGAACCGGGCTCCGCGCACTCGTTGGCTGGACCGCCGCGCGCCGGCCAAGCTCGCCTCTTATTGGTCAGTGTTTTTCGTTGATAACTCGTAAACGAAGCCTCGGAGAAAATTTTCGCGAAGGAAAAAGTTGCTTCGAACGACCTCAGGAACCTCCCATTTCCGGATTGCAAGACATTTTCGGGACACTTTGCATATGCTTTTAAAGTACTCCAAGAACAGATTCTTAAGATACAACGACGATGCCACTCTTCGTTATTGTTGTTATAGCAATTGTCTATTAGCAGAGAGATACGAAATCGCGAAGTCGGCACTATTTAGCATCTAAAAATGTCCGCGATACAACAATTAGACGAGTTTAATTTTTGCCAGATCGTACACAAGTCTCGGTTGAATTAACAAATGTATCTTCGTGAAGTACACCGATCGAAGCCCTTCGAGAAAAAACAGCCAATCGAATCAGATCTTAATTAACCGGCAAACATCGTCGCGAAGTCCGAGCCGCCCGAATACTTTTTGCAGCAACTGTAGCAGCGCGAGCAGAGATCTGCGACATAAAACGATAAAAAGTCGGCTCGAAAATGCCAAAAGAAGCAAACAACGTGTACACGACCTATCGCAAACGTAACGATCTCTGACTCACGGCCCCCATCGCCGAAATCCGAAACGAAATCACTGGGAGACGCATAAAGATCCGCGGAGGACCGAAAAAGGAGATGCGATCCTCCTCCGCGCGATCCACGGATCTCTCTCGGGGATCTAGCTAATGAATCCACGTCGATCGCGAGGCGAGGGCCCTTCCCATCGAAATCTCTCACGTGTCCGCCGAATGTCCGCGTTCCGGGAGGCCGAGAAAGGAGAGACTTCCTCTCACGGTGCTCGATGCCCGGCGATCTTACGTAAACCGTCGCCGCACCGCGCCGCACCGCGCCGGTTACGTGCGGAGATCGCTAGCCGGTTACATGGATCGCTGTTTGTTCGTCGAATGATCCACGTCACCGCGGGAGCTTTCGTTACGCGCGCGTTACGAAACCGCGGCGGAGGTCATGAACGTGCGCGAGCGGGTCAAATTCTGGCAAACAGAAAAATTCGGCCGCGAAAGGTACGCCTGCGGAAAACGACGACGCGAAGAAGCGCCTCGAAAAGTTTATTTGAGAGTTATGTTTGAAAATCGACTACTCGAAGAAGCACCTCAAAAAATCCTTTATTTGAGAGATATCTTTAAAAATCGGCTACTCGAAGAAGCACCTCCAAAAGTCGTTTACTCGAGAGATATCTGTAAAAATCTTCTACTCGAAGAAGCGCCTCGAAAAGTCGTTTACTTAAAATATCTTCAAAAAGTCTACTACTCGAAGAAACACCTACGAAAAGTATCCAAATAAAATACCTTCGAAACTGACCAGAAAATGTGTCCTCAAATATCACCAACGCGAAGAAGAAGCACCTTTAAAAATCGACCGAAAAATGACCCTCAAAAATCGACGACGCAAAGCACAAATAAACAGCGATAAAGCCTCCGTAACAATTGACCGCGCGAAGCGCATTAAAAATGCGTCGAAGGCCGAACCATGCGCGAAAATTCTCGAAACAGGCGTCGAGGACGGAGAGCAGCTTTCTCGTCGGAGATTCCTGGAACACAGACGTGAAAATTGGGGCCCGGTTTTTCCGTTGGTCGGCATTATTGATCTGCCGGGGTTCGTAACGCGAGGCCGGGCCTCGAGATTTATTAGGTTAGTTCGTTGGCACATGTGTCCGGCGATCCCTCCGCGAGCGGATAGAAAGTTCGGACCTTAATTTCATTTCGAGAAGGGACAGGCGACCTTTCGGTGCTACCATCTGCAGCCGACGTCAGACATTTCGCCGGTTCTCTCCCGGGATTTATCGCCCTTGGACTTCAAACTCGACGCCGGTCGTCACAAGTCCCCATTGTGTTCGCTGGTAAAGGAAGCTTGTTCGAATTGGCTGGCAATCCGGCTGGAAATGTCTGCCCATTTTTCGGATTCGCTCGCACAGAAACATTGTCCACCGAACCGAATTTGTTCCGCCGATTAATTAGGGGCCTACGAGATGCAGAAAATTTGAAAATACGCTCGGTACACGGTGCTTCTAGATGCTCTTTTGCATATCAATGTAGTCATAATTTCCCTAATTTTTGCGAATGCTCCGAAATATTTGAGATTTCAGTATCTCGATTTATTCGCATCCTGGAAACAGCGAAATTTTCATCGCGATCGAATCTGTGCGACGCGCGATCGCGGAGAAACGATTACGTGCGCGAGTAAAGATTCGATTTTACACGCAAGAATCTGTATTTGCGGACGTCGACGGTTCGGAAATAGATGTAGACGTTTCCCGACCGATCTGGAAGGTCGTAAGATAATGGCTCCTATTATCGATTCGATCTGTTTCCTTATCTAAAGTCCACACGGAGACGTTAAAACGCCGCGCGTTTCACGGTAAAGTTTGCGCGCGTGTGCGCGACGGGACCTGGTCACCCGATACGCTAAATATCTCTCGCGACTGCGAGCGAAGTTCGCTTCGGACCGGCTAGATACTTTATAAAATAATGACGGAGGGGTTCTATATTTATCTAATCGTAAATATTCCAAGCCGCGGCGGTCGGATCCCACATGTGTTCAACAGGTTGAACACTTTCTACGCCGGCGAATTCTACCGTCGACTGGCCGGAGACACGCTATCTACAGGGTGTCCCAAAAATGTCTCGCAATCCGACAGCGGCGGGTTCCTCGGGTCATTCGAAGCAACTTTTTCCTTTACAAAAATGTTCTCCGAGGCACCGTTAACGAGTTATCGACGAAAAACAGTGACAAGATGTGTATAAGAGACAGGCTCGGATCATTCGAAGCAACTTCTTCCTTTACAAAAATGTTCTCCGAGGCACCGTTAACGAGTTATCGACGAAAAACAGTGACAAGATGTGTATAAGAGACAGGCTCGGATCATTCGAAGCAACTTCTTCCTTTACAAAAATGTTCTCCGAGGCACCGTTAACGAGTTATCGACGAAAAACAGTGACAAGATGTGTATAAGAGACAGGCTCGGATCATTCGAAGCAACTTCTTCCTTTACAAAAATGTTCTCCGAGGCACCGTTAACGAGTTATCGACGAAAAACAGTGACAAGATGTGTATAAGAGACAGGCTCGGATCATTCGAAGCAACTTCTTCCTTTACAAAAATGTTCTCCGAGGCACCGTTAACGAGTTATCGACGAAAAACAGTGACAAGATGTGTATAAGAGACAGGCTCGGATCATTCGAAGCAACTTCTTCCTTTACAAAAATGTTCTCCGAGGCACCGTTAACGAGTTATCGACGAAAAACAGTGACAAGATGTGTATAAGAGACAGGCTCGGATCATTCGAAGCAACTTCTTCCTTTACAAAAATGTTCTCCGAGGCACCGTTAACGAGTTATCGACGAAAAACAGTGACAAGATGTGTATAAGAGACAGCTCGTTAACGGTGCCTCGGAGAACATTTTTGTAAAGGAAGAAGTTGCTTCGAATGATCCGAGCAACCCGCCATTTCCGGATTACGAGACATTTTTGGGACACTCTGTATACTCCTTCTAGAATTCCTTCGTGAATCCGTTGTTAACCCTTGCGCGTGGAATTTCCATTACACGATCGAATGAATCGTTCGTCGAACGTTCGCCGAATCGGGGAACGAAAATGATCCCGTTCCACGGCATCGGGGACGCGAAATTAAATTACACGGTTTCGCGGCGATCGTCGAACGATCGTTAATCGATTCTCCGCCGTGTGCACTTTCGGGTTAAAATGCTGCAAGTCGGCAGGGGATAATCGTACCCTAATTTTTTACAAGACTTTGGACTTTGGATCCGCGTCGATCGGGTAATTGAGACGAGAGATAATCAGCTTGCCGGAGTTCTCGCGGGACAAACCGGCGACACGAGAACTTTAAGGAAATCATACATTTCTTGGAAGAAGTCCAGATGCGGCGGCTGCAAAATGTCCAAGGCCGAAAGTACCTGCAACACAAAATCGAACGGTTTCTCCAGCGATTCGTGAGGCGGAATTCGCGAGGCGATTCGAACGAACCGGTGCAACGCGCGCCGTTGTTCGGACCGATTCGCGGAACGCTTGTAATTAAACGCGTCCCTATAAATTTCGCAGATATTATTTCAGCCTGGTGATCAATATTCATTCGTTATGATTACATTAGTAACTCGCGTTACATCCAGATTTCGCTTAACCGCGCAATTACCGAAATCAACCGACGGAGATTTCCGCGCTGAATTATCCAGCGAACTGCTTGTTGCTGGATTTTCGAATAGGAAAGGATACAAAGCGAATCGCGACGCGTTCGACGGTATCGTTGAATTAATTTCCGCGGGGCAGTGATATTCCGCCGCGGGAAAAATTGATGGTGTTCGATTCCGAGGAACTTTTTCATTGTTCGAAAATCGACGATATTTTCTGCGGGATCCAGGATCGTTCGATTCCTCTATATACAGGGTGGTGTACCAAAAATGTCTCGCAATCCGAAAAAGTAGGGGTTTCCCGAGGTCATTTGAAGCAACTTTTTCCTTAGCGAAAATGCAATCCGCGGCTTCGTTTACGAGTTATTAACGAAAAACAGTGACCAATCGGAGGCGAGATCATTTGACGCGAGACGGCCGAGCTCGCCTCTTATTGGTCAGCGTTTTTCGTTGATAACTCGTAAACGAAGCCACGGAGAAAATTTTCGCAAAGGAAAAAGTTGCTTCGAATGACCTCAGGAACCGGCCATTTCCGGATTGCGAGACATTTTCGAGACACCCTGCTTATTTGAAACAATTTTTCTCGATGTAAAATTCATTTCTCCGAAGCTCTAAATACAATTTGAATTCAACGAAGAGAGTTTCGGTGATTCCTTACTGCTGTATTTGCGAAACTAGGCAAAAATGGAAAAGACAGAGGATCGAACGATCGATCGATCGCGCGTACAATTCGCTAATAATTTCGAAGGCACTTACGTTCTCGTGTTTGAAGAAGCAGAGCATCTTCAGCTCCCTGAAGACCCGTTTGCTGCTCACCAGGCTCTGAAAGACGTTCGGCAGTTTCTTCAAGGCCACTCTCCGACCGTCCCTCGGATCCGTGACCGCCCTGTAAATCATCGCGATATTGTTATTCGGAGCAATTATAGCCGCGATCGAAATCGCGTCCGCTCGGGGCCCGCACGAAGAATTATCGCGGATCTACGGGCCGCCACCGTCCCGCCGCCAGCAGTCCTGCCCCGAAATCTTAATTGCATCGCGAATCTTTCTCCGAGCCGGCAACAACCGTCTAATAACCTCCGTGTCGTTTGTATTCATAAGGATAGGCGCTGCATAAACAGCGCTTTATATGTATACCGAACGAATTTACAACCCGAAATTTTCGTTGCAGTCGCTGTTCGCGGCGGTCCGCGCGCGCCGCGGACGAAGTGTCGGTCGTAGCAAATATTTATAGTCGAAGTCATTGCTTTCCGGGAGTAACGGTAAATCCGAGACAAATATTTGCCGGGGCAGGACGCAACGAGGAAAATTATTTTAATGGGGCTACGACGGAGTTTCTCGTCGCGGGGTAAACACCGAATTCGAGACAAATATTTATTGGTGCAACTCGGGGGTCTCGGCGGAACAATTTGCTTCGGTGGAAACGCCCGCTATTTATTTATAAGGTAAACAGCAAAATCCAAGACCGACGTTAACGGTGCACACGCCCTAGCCGTTAATGCGAGAACTTCCCTCGTCATCGACGCCTATCGCTTCTTCGAGGAACGGACAGAGCCGACGCAGCTTTCGATTGCCAAAATCGTGTACCCTCTTCGGGCGGCGTCGAGAGAAAAGCTACGCCGTTCGCTCGTTTCTCGAGATTTCGCGACCGAAAAATTCGCACAGCCTCGCCGATGCGCGTACTCTCGAACGGCGTACTCGTTGAAAAGATCGACCGATCGGTTTCGCCGGGAAAAATTGCCGAAGCTCGGCTTCCTCGGACGACGGAACAGCGCGACGATAAATTCGGCGACGCTTTCATCGGTCACGCGAGAACGGCGGATCGAAAAAGCCTGGACGTCTAACAGGCGATCGAGTTCCGATCCCCCGAGTCCCCTGGGGTCCGCTCGAAAATTTCGATCCTTCGATCCGGCGAGGAGAGATCGATGTCCGACCGCGGCGCGGCGAGCGGCCCCCGCGGTCCCCGAAGAGTCTGCGGCGATACGCGCGACTATAAATTTCGAGGTTATCCGTCCATCCGTAAACACGTCCACGGCGGTGTTTCCCGAGGGGTAGGGGGGTCGTCGGCTGCGTTCGGTTGGCCAGGGGGGTTAATAACAGGAGCGGCCGGGATCGATCTGTAATCCGTGAAACGTAGACGCGACGCGAGGCGAGGCGGCAACGGGCGCGGCAACCCTCGCCGGGCCCTCGCGTCCGCGGAATAATTATTGTGCCTGCAATTAGTCCGTTTACGGTGGTTCGATTTCATTGTCAGCCGGTTATACCGCAAACCGACGGATTCCAATCCCTCGTTTCCATTCGCCAGTCAATCTCGTTCGCGATCTCGCCGCCCGCACCCCGCGCAAACCCCCTCGGCAAACCCCCTTTGTGACTTTCATCCCTCGCGTTTCGACCGTCCGCGACCCTACCACCGCTCTGCGTGAAGTAATTTCCAGTTTTTCCGGCCGGTGAGATTGCTTTTTTCGAGTGTCGTCGCGCGCTCTGCGACGGTGTCGGCTCGTTTCTTGCCGCGACGAGCGCGCGGTCATCTTGGGAACGAGGATCCGACGGGGATGCAGCGGTTACACAAGGAGAACGAGTATTTTAACCCTTCGCAGTCCAAGCTGCGTCAATGCGAGATCCAAACCTTGTCTTCCGATCGGCGGTATTTCCATTTTATACGATTTGCAGTGGCCCACGAAAGTGGTCGTACATCTCTTAAAACTAGAGTGACAGGTGACTGGAATCTTTTTTAGACGACAGCGGAACTAGTCTTCAAGATCAAAATACTTTTTTTAAATTGTGCCATCCATTTGGGATAGCAGAAAGAGTGGATGATAAAAAGGTTAGCAAACGAGAGTTTCTTATCTGTTTTCTGTCTCCCCAAGTACATAATAGCAAAGTTAAAACGAGGCATTTTAATCGTCGTCTAGTATAGACCAGTCCCTTTATCATCTGAAAAAAGAAATCCAGTCGTTTAGTTGAGTTTTGAAACAACGTTGTTACGTCTTAGAAGGTGTAATGTAACACTTTTATGGGCCACTGTATACATATTACGAATTTATGCATATGAAATCGAGCCTGTTGTCAAGTATAATATAGTAATGTCTCCCTTACTGACGCTCAGATTACAGTAATGTCTCCCTTACTGACGCTCAGATTACAGTAATGTCTCCCTTACTGACGCTCAGATTACAATAATGTCTCCCTTACTGACGCTCAGATTACAGTGATGTCTCCCTTACTGACGCTCAGGTTGTGTACAGAAATGGGCAATTTGGGAAGAGGAGATACGATTATTCCAACCCTGCGACTCGCTTTTATAGTTGTTGACACTCGATAACCATAAAAAAAACGAGCAACAAGGCTCGAACAATCGTATCTTCTCTTCCAAAATTGTCCACTTTTGTAAACAATCGGAGCGTCAATTAGAGAGACATTACTGTACTTGCAATTTTAACAGCTTTCTTCTTCTAAATATAAACGAATCCGATACCGTCGCAATTATTTCGAGAAATAGTGTAACAAATTAGTTGCATATTTACAGGCAACGTAAATNAGGCTCGAACAATCGTATCTTCTCTTCCAAAATTGTCCACTTTTGTAAACAATCGGAGCGTCAATTAGAGAGACATTACTGTACTTGCAATTTTAACAGCTTTCTTCTTCTAAATATAAACGAATCCGATACCGTCGCAATTATTTCGAGAAATAGTGTAACAAATTAGTTGCATATTTACAGGCAACGTAAATAATCCTAACAGAATTAACTTTAATGAGAAAGCTATTTATTGAAAAGGGAAACAAACATAAAGTCAACTAATATTATATATGATGGTTTAGAGGCAACGGTAGGCACAACAAAAAGATGAAATTTTTTGGCCGTAGGAGCCTCAAAAATGGCAACGCAGTGCCAATAAACCATTTGCGCAGAGGAATGCTGGTCTACGCTTGTCTATTGTTTAAGGACATCTTGCCCAGATAGACAATCGTCGTTGCACTTCCTCGCCAGATGCGACGCAGCCCATCACAAAACAATATAATACCAAAATTTAAAATATTACGTCCCTCGCAGGGACAACCTTCGACAAAATTTTTAACTCCGCCTGAGATCGCGTTCGCGTCGTAGCGAATAAATTGCGCCGGTCGAAATTCAACGCACGAATCGGCGAAACGGCGTGAGTTTCCATAGATTTGCTTCGGGCCACACGCGACCGCGTGGACAAGTAATTGCCGGCGTTTCCAAATATCGGGCGACGAACGGACGGGCACGATATCGCGGCACAGATATATCCGGGCAGCTACTATAAATATGTTTGTGCACAAAGGGGGCCGAGGATGGAAAGCGGCACACGCGCGATGAAAGGAGCGCGGCGGCGCGGGCCCCGATAAATCGGACTCGCGGCCGCTGCCGCCGCGCGCGGCACGTGTCCGTCGAGCCGGTCGATTCGGTATTAATGCCAAGTTGAAAACTGTGCGTCGACTATTTAGAAGGATCGCTCGCCTGCTCCCCCGTGCAACACCGAACAATGCCCATTACCCGTTCCTGCGGCGGACAATGCCCGGTTTTTCCGCCGCTTGTTTGCCGCTCATTCAAACTTGAATCCCATCAAATCCCGTTCAAGCTCTGCTCGCCGCTTTAATTCCGACCCGCTCGGATGTAAAATTAAATCGGGCACGGACGCGTCCGCGTCCCACCACACGGAATAACATGTTATCGCGGCACCCCGCGCGCGTCGCGAACACCCCGCGCGCGTCGCGAACACCCGCCGCCGAAATTCGAAACCGGGGCGCGACGACCACCTCTCTAACAGCGGTTGCTACTTTGTTCTTTCTTCGGCGCCGGAGACTCGAGAGAGTGTAAATACACGGGGAATTTTGCTCGGTCTCGATTCGAGACGGCGACAGCTGCGTCAACAGGAACGCCGCGACGTCGACGTCGACGTCGTCGTCGCAAATGAATCGGTTTTAGTGTCCGATAACGAAGCTAACGACTTCGACCCGATTAGCCGCGCGGCACTGTCATCATTTTTGTCCTGCCTCATAAGCCGTGCCTCGCGCGCGGCTGCAACTCAGCGAACCGACTATGCATGTATGTACGCGCATCGTAGTTTCCCAACCTTTCTCGGTTCAAAGCCCTCGCGGCACAAAGCTTCTTTCTCGAACACCCTTTCCCGCGAAGCTGTCACCATTATCGAAATGTCCGCCCGTTACTTTTGGACTCTCGAAACTTCTGTGTCGAGAACAATGCTTTCGGAGCAACCTCTGAATCTGCTAGGACTATTATTATTATTTATTCTTTCGTATTTGCTGATCGATGATCTTTGCAGCAGAGATAAGGGAAATGCTCGATTGAAACGTTCAATTAGTAAATAATAATGATAGCATATAAGGGTAAGATAAAATAGACTACCGAAAAGTTACTTTTGGACTCTCGAAACTTCTGTTTCGAGAGAACTATGCTTTTGGAGCAATCTCTGAATCTGCTAAGACTATTAATATTATTATTATTTATTTTTTCGTATTTGCTGCTCGATGACCTTTGCTGCAGAGATAAGGAAAATGCTCGATCGAAACGTTCAATTAACAAACAATAACGACAGAATAAGGATAAGATAAAACAGACTACTGAAAAGTTAGCTACGCCCATCTAGTTACAATCGATTGCTTAAACGCGTTCGATAATTCTTCGATCTCAAAAACGACACGAAGAATCGAGGAAATCTCGCGCGAAACCCGTCGCGCGATCGAATCCCGCCCGCGTCTGGAAAATTGCATAGAATAAAGTCGATGTTTGCGGCAAGTAGAAACAGCGAGCCACGGTCGGACACCTCGACCAGCCCTCGAAACAATGGCGACTCCCGCGGGAACAAAGGTTTAAAAAAAACCCGGCTAATCTTTCTCTCTCGT